ATTGACGGCCACCAAGTGACGGCACTTGTGGACACTGGCTCCCACTTTTCTATAATAAGCCTACAGCTAGCCGAAAGACTAATACCCGTGCCACACGGGCATAGAAAATGACATTTGGTGGCGACGGCCTTCAGTTCCCGAAAGACATTCGTTTCGCCAGCGCTGCTACACGTCCAAAGCGAATGACATTTGACTTGATGATGTCGATCACAGCACCTTCCAAGTGAGCATTGAGTGAATAGCAATAAAAAAATTAAGAAGCACTTACAAGCTTCAAACACATCAGATAATCATCAAATGTAGAAATAAGCGTATTACGCTGTCCTAAGTTTTAGTTTCTTGCTTTGTTTTACAACGTTGCAGCCGACCGTAGCAACCTAAGCCAACACTAGTCAGATCCACAGCGTAAATAGACACTAAAATTGACAAGGGTTTCGTTATCAATACTTTATTTTCTTTGTATAACGTTCAAAGCACCTTTTTAAGACTTTAGTGCAAATAAAAGACGGGAAATTTCATTTTTAGCTCAATATGATTTCTTTTATATACTTTCAGGTAAATCGCACTTCGTGAGCTGTGTCGTCGAGAGTAGGCATTTCTCAGTCAACTGAGTTCTGGCGAAGGCAGTTGGTGGCGAATGGCATTCGAATGGCATTCGGATGAATGCCATTTTGTTCGCCCCTGTGGCACCGCGCGAATGGCAATAAATCTGAAGGCATTCGGGGGTAAATGCCATTTTTTCTGCCCGTGTGGCACGGGTATTAAGAAGGTGAAAATGCCATGGCAGGGACCCAATATAAGAACTGCAGGAGGTCAGTTGATGACACCGGTTGGAAAGTGCACGGCCCGACTCTTCATTGCTGGTTCCACCTTTGTCGTCACCCTCGTCATTCTCCACGAGTGCTGTAAACAGCTCATATTGAGAATGGATTTTTTGCGCGAATACGGGGCTGTGATGACATCCGTGACAGAAGCGGAACGTTCACTGTAAGCTCGGAGACTGCTACAGATGAGAAACACCAGCCCCCTCGCTTCCGATCAGGACGGCTTCAGCAAGAAACTCTGACGTAGTCTTGGGGGGGCTGCGTACAAGACCACCGAACAACTGCTTCTTCACTCCACGCATCAGGTATCGCACCTTCTTCTCTTCTGGCATGTGAGGGTCGGCTCGTCGAAAAAGACGCGTCATGTCCTCAACATACATTGCTACGCCTTCATTTGGCATTTGCATACGGCACTAGAGTTCACGTTCAGCTCGCCCTCGGCGATTGGGACTTGCATACGTTTCAAGAAGCCGGCGTTTGAAGTCCACCCATGACGTGAGCACACCTGCCCGGTTTTCGTACCAAACATGTGCCCCGTCATTCAAACTGAAGTAGACATGTGGGATCTTGTCTGTGTCATCCCACATGTTATGAGCGGCAACGAAGTCATAGTGCACTAGCCAATCTTCAACATCTTCATGGACAGCACCATGAAAGGGATTCGGCGTTTTTGGTTTGAACAATGTATATTCCAATGGCGTTGCGCCTTCCATACGGCTGGGTTGGAGCCGCTTGGGACGGCGCTGCCTGGAATAGTTGGGGCCGTCATCTCCTCTGAGAGAAGTCCGAACTCAGGGTCCAGTCCACGGATCCTGCGGCTAGCACGGTGAACAGGCGTAACCACCGGTATGGGGCTGGAGCTTCTTGTACTAGGAGGGGTTCGGTGCATAGGGTACCCAGCACCTCCACCAGTTGTCATGCGCTAAGAGCTCGAAGGAACGTATAAAGGGACACGACTGTCAAAAATCTCAGAGACAAAGAAGGACGTCTCCGCTGGCACGGGTTGCTCGTCTTCGTCCTCCTCATTCACCGGCACAGAACTGACCCACTGTTCACTGGCACAGAACACCAGGTGGCAATATAGAACTGGACCTACGTCTTTCGTCACTGGGAAATCCACTGTGGGACCTCTTTATCCACAGCTTCCAACCAATCTCACTTACTCTGGCGCCATGTTGTTGGTTCAGGCCGAAATGGGACACGCAGCGTACATCACTTCGCTAATTGTGCGAGCACCCTTGGTCCCATTGTTCAGCCGTGTCCAAAGTTGTCACAAAGATGTACGAAGCGGAAGCAGTTTCAGCAACTGGTTTAAGCAACATGTGCACCCATTTTAATACTATGTAGTAGCTTAGTGGATGGGGTGTCACGCAGCTGAACTTGAGTGCATGGGATCAACTCCTGGCCACTGTGATCGCATTTTGATGGGGTCGAAATGAAAGTGAGCCAGTGTGCCTCTGTTTATGTTCACATTCAAAAAGCCCAGGGGTTACAAATAATGTGTAGAAAAGCATTCACTTATAAGAGCGAGTGTATCCGGGCTCTGCCTCAAGGTCGATATGAAGGGCCTGCATGTCACATGTATTTATTAAAAAACTGCGAACACACTTTTGCCATTGGCCGTTTTCCAACATGATAGCGCAAAATGGTTTTTCAGTCCTTTGTGTTTTCACACTGAAGAATGCCTCAAAAAAATACTTTTTGCTACTTTATGTTTTTTGTTTTTGCAAAGCAAGCTAGGACTTTTAACAGTACACAACCCCATCTTCGTCAAATACACTCGAACACGGTTATATTGAACCCACACTTATTAAATTTTCGGGTATATCGAACTCCCAAGTTATCCTATTACAATTTCTTTGTAAAAGTATAAAAATTCGCATGTTTATACAGAATAATATTTTTACTCGCCTTCAGATATATCGAACGCCGCGCAAGCTGGAAAGTGCCGAAGCGCACTTTCCAGAACCCCTAAACCACTTCTCTTTTTTTTTTTTTTAACATTTCAAGTAAACAGGCGCATTGTGTGCAGAACGCCCTCGTGATCAACGATTCTACACCTGGCAGCGCTACGAGCTGCCAGCATGCCACAAATACCAAGAAACAATCCCACCTCCTCTCCGGGCCTTTGGAGCCTTTGTGCGACGCGCAGTACGAATATCTCGGATGCGCACTATAAATATGCTCTGATTGGTCGAACGAAAGCCACAACTTTAGGTTAGTCTGCAAGCATCTGTCTGCGCTGCTTGTTGTTCGCCGTTTTGCCCACGTGTGTGCACCTACTCTCGAATCAGCTACTGTGGCCCCTTAACACAACTGCACAAACTAAAGCCGAGTGTTTTGCGATGGTTTTCGTTCATCTGTGTGTGGTGCTTGGCTGCAAGAGCTCCGACTGGAAAAACGAAAAGATGTGACACCTATGTGTGTCACCGCATAGATTCATCGGGTTGGCGATTTTTTGAAGGCGTGGGCACAACACAGAGTCCATATCGGCAAAATTTGTATAAACAAAGGCCGGAACGGAACGGTAGTGGCGGTTCCAGCAACCAAAAGTAGATAGTGTTTCGACCAGTGTGTCAGTGTTGACGTATGCCACATGAGATTCGGAGGGGCGCCGGCAAAAGGGCAAAGTGGCTTTGAGAGAAGATATCAATGTAGGGTAGCAAAGGAAAGATTGAAAAGAGTGATCGTCAGGGTTTCGATAATTATATGCATGTAACTCCGCTATTACAGCACCGTTTCGAAAAGTTCTCACAGCTCCATGCTGGTCTTACGCTTGTGCAAAATTCCCCCAATTCAACCGAATTTCAACCTCTGTGTGGTTCAGGAGCCCTTTAAGGTGGAATCGAGGTTGCATATGCGATGTCTGTATGCTATGACGGCATGGTTATTTTCTTGGAAAAAAAGAAAAGGAAACAGTTTAACAGTAATACTGTGCACTTAACGCCGGGAGCATGACCATGCATTTGACGACCGCCTCCTGTTTGATGTAGAACATGCACACAGAAGGCGGCCAAATAGATTAGGCTTCTCGATCATTTATAAAACCCTACGTCGTACTGCACACAAAAAAGCGCAACTTTTTTCTTCTTCTTTTTCTTTTCATTGCTTTGCATCCCTTGGTTCGTCGTAACGCCTCTCTCACTCTCTCTTTTCAGCCAGCGCACCTCAGTTGAAAAGCACAGTCGCTACCTTGTTTATCAGATCTGCATTGTAACTGGTCATTCATTTCAGGCACTGCGTCGTTGGCAGTAAGCCACTTAGCTCTATGTGCGGGTGAACAGGAGTAAGAAAATACATAGCTATTGCCTGTTGTACACTATGAGTGGTTATGTGAAAAGTAGTCTGAGCTGTACATGCACGGAATATTATGGAGTGCTGCTTAGTAATTTAGCAATTATGGTTCTCCCAATCAGCAGCCTTCTTCCCTGCTCTAAAATACGCTATAGCCTGCCCCAAAATATTTTTGTTGCGTTCCAAAGCACACTTTGGTTGCTCCAAAAACCTGCTCCAAAATGGTTTCAGCCAATCATGTCATTGCACAAGCTTCCTAGTAAGATGGCAGCAAGATACTGGCAAATATGGTGCAATAGCTAATTCTAATGTGCCCCTAATTCTAATGCGCACCTGACTTACATGATCCCAAAACAAAAATACAGCTTTTGGGGCAGTTTAAATGCCTGTATCGAATTTGAATTTTGTACATGTGATTCTATAGTACAGTGGTTCTCAGCCATGGATGTTTCGGGGGCCCCTTGCGGACGGGTGGAACTGATGGGGGACCCCTTGCAGTGGGGTCCCCCATCAGAGCTCCATTTGAGAACCACTGCTATAGTCTATTCCCCCCCCCCCCCAAAGAGGGAGGGGGGGCACATTGCAGTTGGTTAAATACAGTATATCGAAATAAGGAAGATGTGTTGAAATTCCCTCACATAGTGTTCAGTTTGCTGGGGTGCTTTGTTCGGGTTGGCGAAACTTTGCACCGTTAAGAGGCAATCTTTACCGGTTTGGTTGTCACAACCCTCACAGCCATGTGACGGTGTTATCAAAGCGACTGTACTGGTCACTGTCACAACTCTGTAACATTGTTAGTAAAGTCGAAAAAATTTGTCGTATTTTGTATACACCCCAGCTGATGCATTTACTCAAATTTACATTTATTTGGATTCATTACAGGTGGTCTTCGTGGGAATGGGTGCAGATGAACAGCTGGGCGGCTACTCAAGGCACATGATAAAATACAAGTGCGTGCCAGCTTTGGAACATTTTTTTTTTTTTTGACCTAGTGGCATACTCTGTGAGAGACATGTTCAGTAATCTACTAAAAAGATGTGCACGAAAGGGGGAGGAAAGAAACGTGCTTTCTATTTGACAAGCTGGTTGCTGTCTTGGTCAGTAAACCAGATGTGTCGTCTAAATGAAAAAGAAAAAAAAGTAAGAAAGAAGTCAAACTGGCACATATGCTTACATAGTGCAAGTTTTTGAAATACAAATCATAGTTATGCAGCATGAAGATTATTGGTTGGTGCGAGTATCCGTTTGTGATTCAATGGAAACCTTTTATCTAGAGGCAGTTTGATACAATGGTGAGCATCGATATTTTTGTACACTTTTTCATCGGAACTACCATATTTACTCGGTTCTACCGCGCCCTCGATTGCAACGCGCACCCAATTTCCACGACGAAGAAAAAAAAGGTAAGACATCGATTGCAACGCGCACCCATTTTTCTCGTTGGCCCGCACGATCACACCACTAGGGAAAACGACTTCTTTCAGGAGCGTCTTACGTTTAAATATGAGGTACGGGGGAAGCTTGTGCCTATCTGACGTGCAACGGAGCATTGCCGTCACTCTAGTTTTACCGTGGCCCGATGTCAGCACGCGAACTTGCTTCGCCCCCTTCTTCTCGACGGTTCTGGTGCCAGGCATGACGAAGTAAAGAGGCGTCTGATTGGCATTCCCGATTTGCCCAAGCAGGTAACCGTTGTTGTGCTGCAAGTTTAGGACGAACCTCTGAAAACTGTTAAGCTTTTCTTCGTACTCCTCCGGCAAGTTTTGGCCCATGCCTGTTTGCTTTCGGAGGGAAAAGCCTAAAGTTAGTTAGCCAGCACCTGCTCGCTTTGAACTGGCTCCGTGTTAGCCCTTTTTCTAAAGCTCACTGCATAGCCCGCACTTGGAGCAGTTCTGTCGTCATGGGCCGCTGTGCCACTCGCTGCTCAAGCACATACTCGGCGAGCAGCTCTTCAATTTGCGGAAACCGACCCTGCTGTGGTTCACTGAAGCCTTTGCGTGAATCTTTGCTGTCGACAATCTCCTGCTTTTGTTTCCGCCAGTCCTGCACGCACGTTTCGGAAACTCCGAACGACCGCGATGCGGCCAGATTTACGTCCGTTTCGGCACATGCGATGACTTTTCTTTCAAAAGTGCCATCGTGGTGCATTCGTCGAGTTTTTCGAGTCGGCCCTTCCATGCCGTCGATGCTAATGAACTACAAGATTACGAACTCCTCTGCACACGTACGAAGTGCCGCACATGGGAAACGCATAGGCAAAAATGGCCGACGCGCCATGCCGACGCACGTAGGGTGCGGCCATTCTGGAAATGCCGATGGCAATAGAATGACCGTATTCATTTTTTTTTTTTTTCGAACTCGATTCTATCGCGCATGCAATTTATGAACTCGCTTAACAGGAAAAAAGTGCGCGTTAGATTCGAGTAGTTACGGTATGTTGTCCTGTGATGTATGAATCGTATATTATTTGTTTATTCTAGTATGCACACTAAAAAAAAATTAGCTGAGAGTATAAGGATGCAAACATGCCAAGCTTCCGAGTAATGGCAAGCCCGCGAGCAGAAGGCCAAGTTAGCTGGGAAGATAATATATGGGGCTGGGGGAAGCTAACACAGGACTTGCTTAATTGGCAAAACAAGCTAGATAGATGCTTTCGTCGTGTAGAGGGCATTGTCAGGGTGTCAATGATAAAGTTGGGATGTCGATGACAAGCTTCCCTGCATCATTGTGTTTGTGTGTGTTTTTATTTTTTCATTGTTGCTATGTGTGCATTGTTTTTGAGGCAATGATATCGCATTTGTTACGTTCAATTACAGTGCTACGGTTCATTCTATTTCTTTATTGCTGCAGGAACTCTGGCTGGGAGGGTCTCATTGAAGAGATTTCTTCAGATCTCAACAGGATAGCAGAGCGGAACCTAGGCCGGGATGATCGGTGAGGCATTGCGATTTATGCATGAGCAAGGTCTCTGAAATTGGGTGCATTTTTGGCATTGCATGCAATGTTACGCTGTCAGACTGAGCTTACACACTTTAATATTCCGTAACACATGGGCACTCTGAGGTCCTTTGAACGAAGTGACCATTACTGGGAAGGCATTAACACCAGCTGGCAGACGGTAGAGGAATGTACCTTTTCTGGTAAGGATGCCGCCTGCAAAGGAAAATACTTTAAACTTCCCTATTGGTGTAAATGTGTACCATGCCTTTGTATTTGTAGGAACATAGGTCTTCACACCTGCAATGTAGTTACCACCATAAAAGCACCCTTTACACTCAGAGGCCATAAATAGCAGAGAGGTTCATAAAACACATTGTAGTCTCGCCGTCGTGGTCTAGTGGCTAAAGTACTCGGCTGCTCCCGGCTGCAGCGGCTGCATTTCTGATAGAGGCGGAAATGTTGCAAGCCCATGTACTCATATTTGGGTGCATGCTAGAGAACTCCAGGTGGTCTAAATTTCCGGAGCCCTTCACTACAGTGTCTCTCATAATCATATGGTGGTTTTGGGACATTAAACCTCACATATCAATCAATCAAAACACTTTGTAGTCTTGGTCATTATTGTAATGCACCCAGAGATGCTTCTTACAAGTAGTAGATATCCATTAAGTTCCTTTGTAGTTAACTGTTATTGAAGTTGTGCTCTTGAGCCCCGCTGCAGTAGTCTAGTGGCTAAGGTACTCGGCTGCTGACCCGCAGCTCGAGGGATCGAATCTCGGCTGCAGCGGCTGCATTTTCGATGGAAGCAGAAATGTTGGGAGCCTGTGTGCTCAGATTTTGGTGCACGTGAAAGAACCCCCAAATGGTCTAAAATTATGGCGTCTCTCATAATCATATAGCCACGTTTCTTTCCTCAAGTTTTGTTATCACCACGTTACACTATGTTCAGCACAAACCGCACCTATGATGTTTGAGAAGCTTCGAGGCTTTAGTAAATCGTTTTGTTAAGATTACGCCCACTGCGGGAACGTCTCAGATTATTCAGGAACCTACGTCGCCGCTAGCGATAACGCTAGAATATTTGATGGCCAGGGTATAAATGGCGACATGCTTCGTCGCTTGTCAATTGGTCGACGTCTGACGCTCCGTTCGCAGCTATCAGTGCAAGACTGCTACTGGAATACGGCTTTCCATTCAGCGGGCACAGGTTTGCCGAAATAAACAATTTCATTGCAACATACAGTCTCCTATCTTCGGCCACGTCTTGAACACGTGACAATGTGGTGGTTTTGGGATGTTAAATCCTACATATAAATCAAGTTGTGGTCTTGAACATGTGCGACAGAATAATTGTGGCTTCCCTTCAACTTTTTTATAACGAGGTTTGAGTGTAATCCAAATGCAAGGTCTTTGAACTGTGACATGAAAAGGCCTAGAAAGACGACAAAACAGAACTGAACACACAGGATGACGCAGGAAAGGTGTGTGGTCCTGTTCTTTCTATTCTGTTTATTCTACCAACTCACTCAACTTTCTATTGCTCTATGAGGCAATGTCAAATTAACCAAGACAATGTGTACGTTCCAAAACTTTTGGACATCTGCCATTCAGCTATCAAACTCCACTTGCATGATCGCGGGCTAGTTCAGTCAGAGTTTATCAAAAAGAACTAACTTGCATTTCAATGGTATGTTGCCGCAATAGTATCACCACCATGTCTTTCAAACGAACAAGCAAATTCACATTGATTAACTAGTCACTGTTCATAGGCGTGCCAAGGGACAAGACAAGGTTAAGGGGCTGCTGAGCGCTAAACTTAGGGGTTTCTCTTCAAAGCTCTTTTAATTTGCCTGTTAGCGAACATGCTTTATTATTTTTTAGAAATGAGCCTTGATCCACTAGGAACTGGAAATGACGACACCTCATAATAGGGCTAATACGTCCTTTCTTTCTTGTTTTGCCCTGCCCGCTGTTTTGAATCTTCTCAAAATAATTGCATCTGCATGATCAGTGTGAAGATTACTATATATGCACATTAGGCATACAATGTCCGGTACTCGCAGATTAAGGGGGGCGCGGCACTTCGGGACCGAAAATCAGCCAAAAAATCGAGTTTTCGCGGACCTTCTTTTCGCGTTCCCGACATCATTGCGCACCTATTTACAAAATTTCATAGCCGAATACCATCAACTTTTATCGTTATTCAACTTTAAAAAACCGAACCGTTCTTTCCAACTTTTGCCTAGGCTGCGAGGTGGGCCCAAAGCCTAGTAGTGAGGGCTATTAAGAATGGAAGGCTAACCACAAATGCCAAAAAAATACGAACAGCAAAGCGGGGCAAATGGAAGTGGAGGCGGCTCTAATTCTATTTCAGAGGTCGCTTGAACGCCATGGCCTGCGCTACACAGCTATGCTGTCTGATGGAGACTCTAGGACATTTTGCGTCATACAAGACGCCAAGGTGTATGGTTACATTGACGTGGAGAAGGAAGACTGTATTAATCATGTACAGAAACGGATGGGCACCGCATTGAGAAACCTGGTGCAGAAACAAAAGTGCGATGGGAAAAGAGGCTTTGGTGGGAAAGGCAGGCTCACAGGTGAGCTGATCACCAGGTTGAGCACATATTATGGCCGGGCTCTGAAATCGCATGAAGGTGACGTGGGCGAGATGCAAAAGGCTGTGATGGCCACATACCGCCACGTCACCTCCACTGATGAATGCTCGGACCACAGTCTGTGCCCAGCTGGTGAAACTTCATGGTGTCGGCACAATGCCGCAAAAGCAAAGGGTGAGCCCGACCCCAGGCATGCCTACAATCTACCGAAAGACGTGGCAGAGGCATTACTACCGGTTTATACCCGGCTTTCGGAAAGAGCCCTGCTTCAGAGGTGCGAACGCGGTAAAACGCAGAACTCCAACGAGAGCCTACATTCGGTAATCTGGAGTTTGGCCCCCAAGGAGCACCATGCGTCCCTGTTCGCTGTTGAAGCAGCTGTTGCAGAAGCAGTGCTGCGCTTCAACACGGGCAATTTGAATTCTGCAACGGCAATCTTAGGTGAAATGGACATGAATGCGACAAGTACTGGTGCCAGGAGAGCGAGAGAAAAAGACCACCGTCGCAGCATTGTCTCCAACAAGAAAAGAACAGCCTCATTGGAACTCCGGAAGCTAGTGAAGAGGAGGCACGAGCACAGAATGCATTCAGACTATGCTTCTGGTGCGTTTTGAGGTTGTCTTGTTGCATCTTCTGCAATAAAAATGTGTGCCCACGTTTTTTCTCGATTTCTCAAAACGACAATTTTCATGTGCTTCCCATTATGCCGGAGCAATATCTCTTGTTCTATCTGGGTTATCATTACGATTTCTTTTTTGTTTTGAAGATAAATGCAGGGGATGTGTCGTAAAGTAAGTTTTATTGTAATAATTTTTGGAGAGAATTCTCTAAATGGATCTTTTGTTTCAAGTGTAGATGGGGAAATTTTTCATGTCATATTCAACATCCCACAACTTTGCTTCGAAATAGCCCAGAACAATGATTTATACTTTATTGCACACTGTGAACATACCGAATTGGTTCTATAGGTTGCACATCAATATCCAAGTTACAGTTAATTAGCTAATTAGGCCTTAATTGAAAAAGTCGCAGTTCTTTATATCTTTAAAACTAATTGTCACAGCAAAAAAAGAATTAGATTTTTGAAATCAGCAGTAAAATCTACATAGGCTCTCCAAATTTGACTGAGGTACTCGCAAAAATCAAAGAGTTTTTGGAAGGTGTAGCATCCCCCCTTAACACGGGACTATTTCAGGCTAATCTGTGCACATGCTTTCACTTCCACCATCTTCAAGTTGTGAAACAACGGTGTGATTTCTCGAATGCTTACACCTTAGCTAGAAGTACATTTAGCAACTACTTTCATGTTGTTGGAACGAGGTTATCTTGAGCAATTGGACATTTTTCAGTTGATATAGCAAATTTTTTTATATTGCAGATCAATGCATAAGCACTGTACTACTTGCATGCCGTATATACATGAATGTAATACAGATTTATTTTTTTCCCAGATCTTGCTATCTGAAATCAACCCTCGCATTACATTTGAATTTCAAAATTAGAGCTGTCTAAAAACAGCAATGATGTGCATCATACCTGTAATTTTGTTTTTCCTTGGACTCTGTAAAACAACTCTTGTGTGACAACCGTGGCCGCATATGTTATAGGTATGTGTGCCTTAAAAAACGAAAACCCAGATTTAATAGCGTCTGGTCTGTGCACTTCTTTCTTTTATATTAATGCTGTTTTAGCATATTCTGCACGTTCTGGCATTGCTGTAGTGACTCATACAGTGAAATCTCGGTATAACGAACTTCAGGGGACCGCAGAAATTTATTCGTTATTTTGAAAGGTCATTATAGTGAAAGCTCAAAAATTAACCATAAATACTTATTTTTCACCGACCAAAACAACTTACCTTTACAACAGTGGGTCCTTAAACTCATTTTTCACGAGAAAAAAACAAATACACGAGTAAACACCAAAAAAGCATGTTTACTTTAAAAAAGTTTTTTTTTTTTTTTTTTTTTTTTTTTTTTTGGCGCGAGCAGCACAAATCTTGCAGCGCGAAGGCCTCCAGCTCATTCACATTTCTGTGGTGCGATTCGGTTTTTTGTTCACAACAGCCTGCTTTTTGCCTTCCAGTTGCCGAAGAATATCGATTGTCCCGCTTATTGAAAACTGCTTCTGCTTCTTCATCGCAAGGAGAGATAAACTTATTTGTAGTATCACCGCAGCGCAAACGCCGACTTGCTTTGCGGACGTGATAAGTAGTCACCGAAAAAAGATGAACATGACTGAAAAAACAAGGCTTCAAAGAAAAACCCGAAGCGTCACGGCTGTCACCCCTCTTTCGAAAAAAAAAGTGCTAAAAAAGAAAATTCCTCGCGTTTCGTTTTCTGCTCTCTTGCTGCCTCAGGTTTTCCGCGCCCATGCTTCCTGCTCCGCAACTCCCACTCTGCGTCGCTGACCTTGCCCTCGCGTGTTGCCCTCGCCCCTGCGCCCTCTTGAAAACCTGCAGCGTTGGCGTTTCAACAAAAAGAAAGAAAAGAAGGTCGCCCTTTAGTTGTTTTTTTTTCCTCCACACTGTCGCACGTCTTCCGAGAAGCAAGGCGTCTGTTCGCTTTGTCGTCTGCTTGCATACTGCTCCGCTGGTCGCGACGGATTTCAGAACAGAAGTTCGTAGTACTGAGGCGTTGTTATAATGTGGAACTAAATTAACGCTCTTTATTCTGAAAAGTTCGGTATTCTAAAGTACGTAGCAGTGAAATAATTTTACATTGAAACTTTTAACAGTCAGTGTGCGATTTTTTAAAAGTTTGTCTATCTGAAAAGTAGTTAATGTCGGGTTCGTTCTACTGAGATTTCACTGTACCTCATTATGACAAAGTTGCATCTTACACGTAAATAAGTTTGCTATAACCGAAAATATGTTATAGAGGTGTATTATAATTGCATGACTATTCTTCATTTACATTGTTATAAGCGATATCCCGTTATATCCAGGTTCGTTACGTGCCGCGCAAGTCGCATCACGTGCATGGGTGAAATTGAGATTAAAGAAATAAACAAAACAAAATGTTAATGGTGCACATGATCTCGTTAGGCACTCACATATTCTCTCGAGCTTTCAGCTTTGTCTTCCAATGGTTTCTTACAGACGTGAACTGGCTGAATTTTTCTGTTCTTATGCTCTTATTGCTTTCAAGTTGTATATGCAGTTTTCTGTTTGCTTTAGCATTCATGCCCGACGTGTTTTTGCAGGATAATATCTGACCATGGGAGAGAAGGCAGGTTTCCGTTCCTGGACAGGGATGTTGTCAGCTTCCTGAATCGGGTACCCATTTGGATGAAGGTAAGCAGGTTAAAGGCACTGTCTTCTGCCATCACTACTTTCCTGTTCTGTGTCGCAATAAAAAGCGTACTGTCTGAAGTGTCTAACCTTGCAGTGTAAAAAACTGGAAAGTGTGTAAAAATTTATTTTAACGAAATTTTTCTATCTGGGTTCAGTCTCCTTCCATCAGTGGATTGAATGCCCACAATGCTGGTCGAGGGGGGTGATGACAATTTTGCTACATATGAACGTAAAAAAACTGTGAAACCGTGTGCGGTTTTTGCAGGCTACATCACATTTTGTTTAGGGGGCAGACTCATCTTAGACATTTTTTGTTTATTTCTTCAGTGATCTTGATCAAAAATCACTGGCTTGTGCAGTTTGTTCTGCTGATTTCAGCTATGTAATTACATTTGCTATAACTCATTTTATTCCTGAGAAAACCTAAGTTCACCCCCTATTGCTTAAGTCCACCATAGTAAAAAAAGTGCTGAATTAAAAGTGATGTTTAAGATATGACAACATAGACTAATAACTAGAGATTGAAAGTACAGTGAATCCTCTGTAAACCATACCCGCTTAAACAGTAGTTTCGCTTTAAAAGTAGTAAAGTCAAATTGCCCACTCGGCAGCCGTTGAACATAATGCATTTGTGTTTCCGCATAAACCATATCTGCTTCTCGCGTATGTATTGGTTAATAAGTAGTTTTTCCAATTTTTGTTGTGCACTCGCCGCGGCATGTCGTCCCCCGCTGGCTGTCTCGAGAGAACAGCAAGTCCCAGAGATCGAAACATGGCTCGCTTGTTTGTGTTGATGATGATTGCGGCTGTGTTGGAGAGCGCCATCACTTACATTTTTCCGCAAGATGAAGTATGTGGCTTCCAAAATTGGAAGCCACATACTTCACATGGCTTCCATAAATTGGAAGCACAAACACGCCAACACGGTGTGCACTTGCTTTGCTTTCTTTGTTCCTTTGGCACCGTGCATACGTGTTCTCTGGTTGTTCCTTGCTGTACAGCTCTCACGTTGTTTTTCATGTGTTGTTTATGTGTGCTTGTGCTGCTTCATACTTGCATCATGCCGAAGCTTGGACAAAAGCATCGAGTGCTGAAAATAGAGGAGAAATTGTACATGATTCGTGCTATGTAAAGTGGCACGAAAAAATTGGCACTGGCACGCGAAAAGGACCTGCCGTTAACCACTGTATGTGGAATTTGGAATTTCAGAGAGAAGTTGCTTGGCAGTGCTGCTGCAACTGCAAAAAGGTGCCGGCTAAGCGGTTCGTCGTTTTCTGATGTAGAGGAGGCGCTGGTGAAGTGGCTAAAAGCTGCACGGTAAAAAAATCTGCCTACCAGCCCACCCCTGCTGGTGGAGAAGGTCCTGGTTTTTTTGTTGCAGCTCAACCATAACAACTTCGTGTGCAGCAATGGCTGGCTAGCCAGATTTAAGGCGAGGCACGGCATTACCATGAAGACTGTTTCGGGGGGAAGGTGCAGCTGCTGACGTGGATGGTGCGGAGCAGTGACAAAATGGTCAGGTGAAGAACATCCTGGAAGACTACGCACCTGATTACATCTTTAATATGGATAAATGGGCACTATTTGCCCCGCCGCGGTGGTCTAGTGGCTAAGGTACTCGGCTGCTGACCCGCAGGGCGCGGGTTCGAATCCCGGCTGCGGCGGCTACATTTCCGATGGAGGCGGAAATGTTGTAGGCCCGTGTGCTCAGATTTGGGTGCACGTTAAAGAACCCCAGGTGGTCTAAATTTCCGGAGCCCTCCACTACGGCGTCTCTCATAATCATAGAGTGGTTTTGGGACGTTAAACCCCACATATCAATCAATCAATCAATAAATGGGCACTATTCTTTGAGCTGCTGCTAGACAAAACTCTCGCGTTCAAAGGCGAGACATGAACCGGCGGCAAGCATGCAATGGACACAATATCAGTGGCGTTTTGCATAAACATCACTGGAACCGACAAAGCTCCGCTCCTCTTGATTGGAAAGTCGGCAAAGCCAAGATGTTTCAAAGGCACCCAATTGCCATCAGGGGTCATCTATCGCAGCAATACCAAAGCATGAATGACGGCAAAACTCTTGTGCGCCTTATCGATCATCGTTTTGCGGCTCAGAGCAAAAGAGTTGTTATTATTTTAGACAACGCTTGGGCGCATGTCACCCTGGACAATCCGACGGCTGTGAAGCTGGTGTTTCTGCCGCCAAACACAACAGCGATTGCCCAGCTCTTGAACCAAGCCATAATTCGAGCTGCAAAATAGCTCTTCAAGAAGAATCTGCTGGGCAGATTTCTTCTCGCCATTGAATGTGGCAAATTATTTTCCATCGACCTGATTGGCACGATTCACCTGCTCAAGTACTCGTGGCAGTAGGTTGAGGAAACGACAGCTCGAAATTGCTTCAAGCGTGCTGGCTTCAGTGAGTGTGTGTGCGGGCGATGCAGATGACGCTAGTGACATTATCGACCAGACTTTGGACATCGTAGACCAAGCTTGCGAAACTCTGCTAGCTGATGCGCTGGAGCGGCAGGGCGTTAGGGAAGGCATTTCCTTCCCCGACTTCAGAGTTGCAGACAGCGATGTGAAGACATCTCCGGACAAGTTCGACGAAGCCACTGTTGCCTCAGTTGTCGAAGTGTTGCCAAATGATAGTGATGAGGACGACGTGGGAAGCGACAACACGGGTGATCCTGATCAAACAGTGGCCGAAGCTGCGCATGGCATCAGCGTCATGAGGGTGTTTTCCGAAAAGAGGGGGCTGGTGAAAAAGCTGGCTCCCAGCATAAGTGAGTTTGAGGCTGCTGTCGTTGCTGCTAGGCTGCCGCGTCATCAAATGAGGGTTACAGACTTTGTCACGTGAAGTTAATAAATTACTGCACGTTTTTTGTTCTTTCATCGCACTTCTTGGAGGTTTCTTTTTTTGACAGGTAAGTAGGAGACCTGACGCTATTTCGGTTAAGCAGTACTACCGTTTAGTATAAACTTTTTCCAAGCTCTGGCCAACTACGGTTCAACGAGGTTTCACTGTATGCAAAAGTTTTTTTTGTTTTTTGCCTTTCTAGATTATTTTATATACAAAATTAACTTTCCATTTTCAAAAGCAGTTCTAATTGTGTCACAATTTTGTTCAATATTTAATTGAAAAGGCTTGTGCTCTAAATTCTGCTCCCACACTTGCATTCAATACATGTACAGGTTCCTATTGCAAAAATAATTATTGTTGTGCCTGCCCTAGCTGCAAAGATATTGAGGCCTCAAAATTGCACAGTCGTAAATTTACTTTTCTGAGAAAAATGAAAAGAAGAAACTGCTAACAACCTGTTTCCTCAAAAAACACCAATAACGGTTAGTATGTTTTATAATGCTGATAAAAGAGCTCATAAATTGGTAGTAGAGCTTCAGACACAGGTGGTGGGAAATTATGAAGAAGCCCCGAAGTAGGTTCCTCATTTTTTTGCATGTTATGCATCGTGCTAGCACCAAGAATCGGGACAGTCAGAATCACATTACAAAAAAATTACCACTTCCTGTGGGTGAAAATTTGCATGGACATGGAAAAATACTTGCAGAAACCAAATATGACAATTTAAAAAAATTAATTTTTTTGTGACTTTTCAGTCCCAAAGACCAGTCTGCCCCCTTAATAATAGAACAAACTCCTTAGTGGTCGTTTAACACACGCACTTTTTGTTGTTCTTATTAGTGGCGGCAGACGCTATACTCTCGCTTCTCTGCTGTTTGCAGGCAGGCATGCAGAGAAGCGAACACAGCGCTGGCAGCGCCATTTGAATGCGAGAGAAAGAAATAAAAGCAAATATTAGTCTCCGGGGCAACCTAAAGCCATCTCAAGTGCATAAAATACAATCTCAAGTTATAAGTGTTTGTTTTTAAAGGGGCCCTGCAACACTTTTTGAGCATCGTCAGAAAATGCTGCCGATCGGTAGTAGAAGCTCCCGACAACACGCGAGCCGAATATTATAGCGCTGCACACGGCGTGGAATTCGCAATATATTATCAAAGTTAGCTAAAAATTGCTTTCCTTTCTCTCGACAAATCACACAATATGCCCGAAAGTAACACGTAGCTAGCCCATCTGTCAGCCATTGGCTGATTTGAACATGGCGCGCGCACTCGTTACAGAGATCGTTGCGAGAGGCCGCTACTTGTCTATGCATGCGCGCGCGATCACACTCAAAAAGTCGCACATTCTAAGAAAAAAAAAAGAGAGGAAAAGTGCTCAAGGTCACGAGGCGGGCATGACGTTTCTTTGTGGCCCTGTAATTTCTCCCTGCTTAGCTTCCAGCGATTTCCTCAGGATGAGAGAAGGTAGAATGCAATTGCAGCATGCGACAAACCTTTGTAACTCCATTTGCACAGGACGGATTCTTAAAATTTTGGCGGTGTTGAATTCGTGAGGTAATAAGCTCTTCCAGAGGATTCATTCCATGGTTACTTGAAAAAGTGTTTCAGGGCCCTTTTAAGCAAAATAAGTCTTCCCGCAAGGATTTCTTGTCCTACCACCAAATTGACGTCGCTGTTGGGTGACGCTAGCGGTCATTTTTTGTTAACTTTCCACATCAAGTTTAAATTATAATTATTTTTTTACGGGACAAAAACATGTTCGTTGCCACCTACGCAATGAACAATCTTATTATTCGTGCCACTATCAGAAAAATTTTTTCGGGTGGTAGAGAGCCCCTTTAATCATGCCCGGCGAGCCTTATTGCTGTTATCAAAAAGAAAAGGGTGCAGCTGCTTTGTTCTGACAGTGGCTGCTGGCGTGTGCATTTGAAATGTGCAGTATGTCAATAGTCTTGAAGAAACTGCACAGTTAGTAAATGGCAAATGGTTGGCATGATGCAGAAAGGCTAGAAAAAACTATGTATGCTGCTCATGTGAATAAACATTGTTTTCTTCAATATGCTTATCTGCTTTACTGGAATGAATACAATGCATCTAACGTAGGGCCCTATATATATCCTTAAACCACGATACAACGA